TTTTTCATTTTCACTGGCAGGGGGTGGGTCTGGAACAAATCCCCTGCCCACAAAAATGGAGGGACGACTGTAATAATCCCATCATATTCAGCCCCAGTGAAGCCTCATCTGGAGTCCTGTGTTCAATTCTGGGTGACTTGTTTTAGGAAAGATACTGCAATATAGTGGTTTGAGCATTGGCCTATGACTCTGGAGATCAGGGTTCAATTCCCTGCTTAGCTATGGAAATCCACTGGGTGACCTTGGCTGAGTCACACACTCTCAGCCCTAGAAAACCCCATGATAGGTTTGTCTTAGGTTGCCATAAGTCAGAAACAACTTAAAGGTACAGAACAACAACAAATAGAAAGGTTAGAATGGGTTAGAGCAGTTCAGAGAAGAGCAACAGCCATGATACGAAGTATGGAGGACAAAATCTATCCCTGTTCTCACTTTTAAACACTTCTGACATGTCTCTCCTTTACTCTCAATCTTTTCCCCAAAGCTAATCAACCCATAAAATTGGGAGAGAGGAGTCAAAGTGTGTACACTGTGAAACTTGTGTACACTTGTGATCTTGGAGGAAAAGTAGAATTCTTGAAGATATCATTAAACAGACAATGGTTAAGATCCAAGTTTTTGATCTTGTAATGTCGGTGTTTTAGATTGTGCGCCACTTGGCAGACTTTATTATTTTATTTGATCTCTGCTATGTAAAGCACTATGCAAATCTACAGCACTCTATAAATAAATGTTAATAATAATAACAACAATAATAATAGAATTCAAAGATATAGCCGTGTTAGCCTGTACAATCAGTATTAAGTAGAGAGATCTTGTAGCACCTTTGAGACTAGGAAGAAATTGGCAGCATGAGACTGAAATCTATGAAAACTCATGCTGCCAATTTCTTTCTTTCAATAGTAATAATAATAACAACAACCTTACTTTGGGGTTGTCTAACATGCAGGTAAAACATTAGCTGTAATCCTGTTCGTTAGTTTCAACTAAAGTAGATGCATTGAACCCATTGTTGAATTATGAGTCAACAAATAGGTAAATCCACTTGATTCAATGGTTCTACTCTGATGGGGACATATAACATTGTGCTACCAGAAACATAAGCCAATGCACATGCACAGCCATACATGATACATGTGCAGTATGCTTCCATGTAAAACACATGATGTATGGCCATGTGCCACAGCCCCACTTGTGAAATCTTGCTTCTGCAGCCTTGTGGACTTTTTCATCACACAAAAATGTCCCACCATGTCCATAGGGGAACTTACACAGGTGTAAGTCACTGACAAAATGCCAGAAACTGATTCCTCACCCCTCTTGAGCCTCATTCTTCACTGTGAAACAAGCATGGGCAGAGCAAATTGCATGAATCAGAGGGGAACATCTGTGGAGGCGAAAGGAGACCACACTGCATTATCCATCACGGCGAGAGATGCATCCTGGAGCGGGATGTAGGGAATTCTTTGGCACATGTCTGAATCCCAACATCTGACCTGAGGCCAGACACCGAGTGCTGAGCCTTCCTTCCTTGTTTGGATCATTAGGCAGTGAAGCATCGTTCAGGGATGGCCTGTCTCCTCCTTTCCCGAGAGCCTTGGCAAGGGGTTGGCACAGACCATATTGCTGAGCATATGATCCAGAGCAGGGGATGGCATTTCATTACCCTGGCAGGTTGTGAACACTTTAGGCCATGTGAGGGAGCGTAGAATCACAAATGGCAGGCAGCAACCATAGGCTTTGAAAATACCAGGCTCTAATGAGAGAGTAGGACATATTGGTCAAAGGTTTCCAAAGGCAGTCCTTGGCCATTGAGTGTGGGAGAAGACCCATCTTGGAAGAAATGCTGCTTGAAACAGGATAGTTGGGAAGCTCTCCCTCATCTCGAGGTGGAATCTCTTTTAACGTCATTTGCATCCATTGCTCCATGTCCTATTCTCTGGAGCAGCAGAAAACAAGCTCCCTCTGTCCTCAATATGACATCCCTTCAAATATTTAAACAGGGCTCTCATGTCATCCTTTAACCTCCTCTTTCCCAGGCTGAATATACCCAGCTCCCTGATGACTTGGTCGTTTCCAGAGCTTTTACCGTTTCAAGATCCTCTTTGGATTGTGGTGCCCAGAACTATATACAGTATTCTAGGTGTCTCACAGTATTCTTACCTTAGAACAAATCCCTTATTACAGCTTTTTGTCTGTGCATAAAACAACATTTTCTATGCAGGAATTAATATTTCTGCATAGAAATATTAATTTGCATGCAGAAAATGCTGTTTCCTGCATAGAAAATGCTGTTTTCTGTGCAAAACAGCCATGTGCAAATTTTGCACTGAACAAGACCTGAAGGGCAAAAATTCTTCTCAGTCCAGGATTGTTCTCATCAGGGTTTCTTAACATTCAAAACAAACAAACATGTTTTTCTATCAAATCTATAGATGTATATATGAATATCCTTTCCATCCCCAAGTTTGTTTAGCCCAGGGAAGAGAAGGTTAAGAGGGGACGATAGTCCAGTTTAAATATTTGAAAGGATGTGAACCTATCACTGGGTTTTCTGAAGCTGAGAGTGTGTGTCTTACTCAAGGCCTCCTGGTGGTTTCCATGGTTGAGCAGGGATTCAGACTTGTCCAGTGTCCAAACAAATATGCCATGCTGGCTTCTACCAAAGTTGTAGTCCAATGCTCAAATCACTACACCACACTGACTCTTGGGTTGGCTGGATGTTAAGTAGCGAAATACTGGTGAGCTGTGTTAGGAAAAGACATGATGTTTGTGTAGTGGACAATGAGTTCTACAGTCCTTTTCTGTATCATGAGCAGGCATTACTCCTCTCCAGCAGCATCAAGAGGTTTATTTTGTCTTCAGTAGGTCTTGCTAGGGACCGACGTGGCGTAGTGGTTTGCGTGCTGGACTATGACTCTGGAGACCAGGGTTCAATTCCCAAATCAGCCGTGAAACCCTCAGGGTGACCTTGGGCAAGCCACATCCTCTCAGGAGAAGGTAGTGGCAAACCTTATCTAAACAAATCTTGACAACCCAATCTTGACAAGTGGAGAAGGCAGTTAACCCTGATGGGCAATGTAAATTAAAGTGCAGGGAGCAAAAGGTCAGGAAGAACCCTAGCTATTTATTGTTAACTGGCATCAAGTTGACTTTGACTTATGACAACAACCCTATGAATGAAAGAGCTCCAAGTCACCTGTCATCAAGAGCCCTCTCAAATCTAGAAGAAGACTGAGGGACATAGCTTTCTTGATTGAGTCTATCCACCTGTGATAGGATCTTCCTCTTTCCCTTCTGCCTTCTACCTTCCCAAGCATCATTGTCTTTTCTAGTGAGCCATGTCTTCTCATGATATGGCCAAAGTATGACAGACTCAACATAATCATAGCTTCTAGGGAGATTTCAGGGTTGATTTCCTCTAGGACCCATTTGTTTGTCTTTTTAGCAGTCCACGGTATCTTCAGAACTCTTCTCCAGACAGTACCACATTTCAAATGATTTGATTTTCTTCCTATTCAATTACATATCCATATATACACCTCCGGACCTCATCTAGTTCCTTCTTAGCTGCCTTCCCAGGGCTGAATCTGTGCTGCAGAAATAATGCACTTTCACACCTCTTTAACTGCCACGACTCAACTTTGGAATTATTATTATTATTATTATTTAAATTTTATTATTAAAACAAAACATAACAAACATACAAATAGATTTTAACAATAATATGTTGCAGTACTCAATAGAAAAAATGAAAAAACAAAACAAAGAGAAGAGAGACAATAGACAAAACTACAACAGCTCCCTAAATAGATTAAACAATTGATAAAAACAGACTCCCATGTTTGGTGTAACTTGCCTTTTAGCCAGATTCTAATAACTAATCTCAACTTTGGAATTTTGTGAGCTATTTAGCCTTCTCTGTCAGAGAGCTCTGGTTTCACAACCAACTACAAATCCCAGGATTCCACAGCATGGATCATGGCAGTTAAAGCGGTGTTGAATTACATTATTTCTGCATTGTGATTCGGCCCAAGGTCTAGTCTTTTTCTGATTCATTGACTGCAGAAATCACCTGCAAACCAAGATGTCCAGCCTAGTGGCTTGTTACCCCATGGTCCATCCTAAAGAAGGCTTGTCTCCATCCCACTTACCTTCGCCATCTCTGTCTCCACTTTCTGTAGAATTTCTCTTTTGGGGTTTGCTCCCTTCCCTTCATCTTTCATTGTTGTTGACTATAGGACTTGCTTTCAAGAAGCTGTTTAACATTCACAGTTTTTGTTTTAATCTTTCAACAACCAGAGTTGTTTCAACCAGGGTGGTAGTTGAAGAGGCAGAACATTTTCTCAGCCATTAGCATATAAAATAAGGTAGGATTATGGAGCCCCATGCCATCTTGCATATTCATCACCCCCAGTGTGCTCTCCTCAAAGGCAGAGAGCTGTGCTTACTCTGCCAGGCTCTGTGGGTGGTGGGGGCCTTCCTGCTGAGCCATCTAGGGTAATAATAATAATAATAATAATAATAATAATAATAATAATAATAATAATAGCAAAAATTAAATAAAAGTTAACCATCTGACTACTTAGAAATGGGCCTCCAATGAATCCTGCAATTTGTTGCAGTGAAAAGGAACACCAGGTTGTCCTTGCTTTTCCTGTTGTTGTTGTTTTTTCCCTTCTCTACTCAGTGATAAGCCTTACAAGAATTAGTAAGTGATCCTCTGCCTTTCAAGCAAAATATGCTAAAACAGGAGAATTGAGCATTTTGCAACGGAATGCAATCTCAGGAACCTGCTGTTTCAGATTAAGGAGCTGGCACCTAGGGATATAAATCTCTGTTCTTACAGGCAAGGACAAACAATTTTTACCATTTTCCCCTTGCTGCAAGAACACACAATGTTTGAAATGGATCCAAATTGTAAGAGACCCCATATAAAGATTGGGAGGCACTTCTTGACTTCTTGATTGAGTTCCTCCCAATCTTTATATGGGGTCTCTTACAATTTGAATCCATTTCCAACTTTGTTTGTCCATGGCATATGCCCACTCTCTCGGAGGGGAGTGAACTCTCCTTCTTTGGAGGTTTTAAAACAGAGGATGGGTGCCTAACTGTCGGGGGAAGTTTGATGGTGCCTTCCTGCATAGCAGAAAAAGGCTCAGCTGGATGGCCCTTGGGGTCTCTTCCGATTCTGTGATTCCGTGAAATCCCTCAAAAAAAAAAAAAAAAAAAGCAGTAAAGGGTGGAGGATTGAAAGATCTGAAAGTCATGCCCTTTGCAAAGTGGCTGGGTATGTTTAGGCTGGAAAAGAGAAGGGTGGCATGATAGCTCTGTTTAAATATTGGAAGGGATGAAATATTGAAGATGGAGCAAGCGTGTTTTCTGATGCTCCAGAGACTACGACATAGAATTATAGAATTGTGATTA